CTTCTTCCTCTCAACTCTCCGCCTGCCCCAGCTGGCCAGACCTCAGACCTCCTCCAGTCCCCATCTGTGCAGGTCCCTGCTCTCGTCAAGATACTTGATGCAATTCTCACAGGGACCCCACAGGGATCAAGCCCCACTCAGGGGAGAAGGAGCCGGCAGAGGAGGCCAGTGTCTCCGGCTGTCCCTGCAGACCCCAGCTGGAAGGAAGACGCAGGGGATTCTGGGCTCCACCCCTCCCCCACCTAGCCACCCCCCAACACATTATCTCTGAGCGGCAGCAGCTGAGCCTCCCGGTATCTCTCTGATCCCCCAAATTTCCGGTTCCCCAAAGACAACTCAGGATGTGGGGAGGGAGGGGCAGGGAGAGGAGGAGGGAGACTGAGCAAGAGAAAGATCAGAGGGTGACAGAGAGAGAGATGGGCATCCAGGACAGAGGGGCAGGGACAGAGGGACAAGCAGACGCAGCATGCTGGGCAGAGTGGGAAGCAGACAGAGAGACAGACAAAGGACAAGACAGAGAGACAGACGGAGGGAGAGGCAGAAAGGGGAGGGGCGACCCTGAGATACACACAGACAGAGGGACAGGGAGGCAGAGGCGGGAGACCAAGGATGAGGCCCCATGAAGGCTGCAGTTGCTTGGGGGGGCGTTGGGGTTGCAGGGATTGCAAAGGGGACCTGAAACAGAAAGAAAGTTGGAAGCTTCCCAGCCCAGTGCGAGAGGCGAGGAATAGCAGACCCCCGCCCAATACCAGGAAGAGGCAGACAGGAAGGGAAGGGGGCCAGGGTGGGGACCTGGGGGTAGACCAGATGCTCCAAGCATGTATGCCACCGGGCTCACATCACTCTGGTGTCCTTGAGGACAGTTGGGGAGCCTGCAGCCCCAGGGAGGAGTCCAGCAGGGGAGGTTTGCTCTAGTGACCTCAGCTGCCCACCACTCTCAGGGACCGAGGAAGAGCAGGGCCTGGGGCCTGGTGCCCATCGGGGTGGGGGCAGGGAAGGAGGGATTCAGAACAGGGTGGCCCTGGGCTGCTCGGAGGGACAGCGACAGTCCCTGCTTGGTCTGGCAACCTGTTCTCTCTGAACCTCAGTCTCCTCCTTTGTACAAGGGTAGCAAGAGAAGAACCGCTTCAAGGGTCCAGGGTGGACTGAACGTAGGCAGAGTGCCACCGCATGGCATGTGGCAGGTGTCTGAAGATGGGGCCCTTGTTGGTGAGGCCGAGGCTCCCACAGCATCCTGTCTCTGAGTCAACTCTTTCATTTGCAAATGAGAGAAACCCAGCTGAAGCTGAGCCAAGGCAGAGAGGGGCGTTCGTTGTTCTCCCACGTAACTGCACAGTCCCCCGGTGGAGCCGACTTCAGGAACCAGCGGATCCAGCACCTCAGTGCTCTCAGGAACCTGTCACCCCCACCTCTCAACGCTGCTCTCTTCTTGCTGCCTTCTCTGGGGCCACTGCCCTGCTCACTGTGGTCCCTGGCAGCTCCAAGCCCTGCCTTCCCTGTTGATAAGAAAGTCTCACTCCCAAGAGCTCTAGCCAAAGTCCCCTGTTGGAAGCAGAACTGACCCTCCACGGCTGGCTCCTTGGCTTACCTTCTCGTTTTCTCCTATTCCACCAACTTCTAGCTAATGCACAACCTCCCCCTCTCCCCCTCAGAGTAGGCTTCGGAATTTGTTGTGTGACCTTAAGTAAATCATTCAACCTCTCTGAGCTCTTTCTCTTGTCTACAGAATGGACTCCTCCCACCTCACACTCGGGTATCCTGAGACTCCAAATAATAATAATGAGCATGGCATACAGTAAGCGTGCAATAAATGCATCTCACACCGACATCCCTCCTTCTACCAGCATAGTGCTGAATTTTCCTCTGAGCATCATCCCTGTGTCCAGGCCGAGTTGGGAGTGGATTCTAGGTCATGGGCGGGCCCAAACCCACCTCATGTGGTGTTCCCCTGGCCAGTGATTGGTTCAGGGGAGTCCAGTGCCCCAAGCTCATCCAATCAGAATAAGTTTGGGGCTTTGCCTGGAATATGAAGATCTTGCCCCTCCCACTCCATGGAAACCTGGAGGGATGGGGACCCTGGACTCGCTGTCTCCTGGACACACGGGAAGAGACCGGAAATGGACTCCGTAGAGAAAGGAGAGCAGAGATCTGAGCCAGCCGACAATGGGAGGTGCCAGTTCGCCCTCTGACTCCAGCTGCTCCTGGACATTCCGCCTCTCAGCAGTAAGAACCTACTCTTCGGCTTTCAGGGACATTCTTTGGGGCTAGGGCACCTCAGAACGGAAAGGTCTGAAACTTCAATCCAGGACAGGGGATGTGGCTCAGGGAGAGAGCGCTTGCCTGGCAGGTATGAGGCCCTGGGTTCCCGCCCCAATGTCCCCTGCCCCCTCCCTCTCACAGAACAGACTTAAATCCAATATCCTCAAAGTCCCACAAAGGTCAAGTGGCAGAGTCGAGGCAAAAAGTTTAGTCTCCTGATTTACATTTCAAAGCTCTTGTTATCAAGTACAGCTCTAGGCTTGGAATTAGTGCTTGTTTATCTCTGCGACTAATCAAACCAATTATATAGATCAAAGGTAAGAGGTCCGGGCAGGGGGCATGCCTGTAATCCCAGCAGCTGGGGAGGCTGAGGCGGGAAGATTGTGAGTTCAAAACCAGCCTCAGCAAAAGCGAGGCACTGAGCAACTCAGTGAGACCCTGTCTCTAAATAAAATACAAAATAGGGCTGGGATGTGGCTCAGTGGCCTTGTGCTCCAAGTTCAATCCCTGGTAAAAAGGCACAGGCCTGTAATCCCAGCCCTTGGGAGGCTGAGGCAGGAGGATCACAAGGATCCAGATTTCTTCTCTAGAAATTCCAGAAAATTCTCTCTCTTACTAAATCTACCTTTTCTCCAATGCTAGAATTCAAGAAAAACCTGTTTCTGCTCCCAGCTCCTGTAGGGGCCTCCCCACTGACCTCTCCAATGTGCTAAGAAATCCTGGCCCCAGCCCAGGAGACCTCAACTGCATCGACTGCTCTTTCCCACCTGGGTCACCGGCTGTGGAAGCGAAGCCACATCCCCTTGCTCACTCCAAGAAACACAAATGGAACCTGCTCAGTGCTTCAGGGAATACCCACACCCCTCAGTCCCCAAGGCAAGGACCAGAGTGGCCCTGGCTCTCCCCATGTCCCCCAGCCCATAGCCAACCCATCCTTCTGGTCCCTGGATTGTGCCTCTCAAACACCTTCTTATTCTACCACTTCTCTCTGCTGCCCCTGCCACTTCTGTGGCCAGCCCGCCACCATTTCTCACGGGGATGACTCCAACAGCCTCCTCATGGCCTCCCTGCCTCTCGCTTAACTGGCCTCACCATCGATTCTGCCCATCAACCAAGCCAAAGATCTCTGCTAAAACACAGACCTGATCATGTCCTCCTCAGCTCCAAAGCCTCCCGCGTCCTGGGTCTCAGGATCGAGGCTCCACACGGGCTCAGCCCCACCCCCGTCCACTCATCTCTTAGTCTTCTCCAGCCTCATCACATGGGATTTATTTGTGTCTCCACTACACCGCATGGCCTCTCTGGAGGCTGTTGCTAAGGCCTGGGGCACCACAGCCAGCTTGTTCGCTTGGCACAAACCACCACGGAGGCTTGGCCTGCTGTCCACTGTCTTCTAGAGCCATCTGGGCCACATCCCCCTACCCTGACCTGTTCCATCTTGGGGCCTTGATCTTAGTTATCTACCCCATCTGGATACCTTTATGAATGTGTGGCCCCAAACTAGGTACAGGTTGAGCATCACTCGTTCAAAAACCTGAAACCTGAAATCCAAAACATTTTGGCCACCAACGTGAGGCCGCCAGTGCAGAATTCTACACCTGACCTCACATGACAGATTGCTGTCAAAACGTGAGTACACTAAAAAATATTGTATAAGCTGGGCATGGTGGTGCCCATCTGTAATCCCAGTTATTTGGGAGGCCGAGGCAGGAGGATCTCAAGTTAGAGGCCAGCCTCAGCATTTTAGCAAGACCCTGTCCCCAGGCTATGAGTATAAGGTGTACATGAAACAAATGAATTTCGTTTTAGGCTCGGGTCTCATTTCCAAGATACCTATATATGTGCAGATATTGCAGAGTCTGAAATACTTTCGGTCCCAAGCATTTTGGATCAGGGCTAGTCCACTGGGTCTTTTTCCCATTCTTAACTGGACGTGTGTGGCTGGCTTGGCCGCCTCACCCCACATTCTGCTGGTGATGTCCATCTGCGTTGACAGGCCTGGCTCATTTTATCAGCTGGTGAGTATTTGCCATGTGACTTCACCCAGCTTATCAGACTGTTGTCTGGCAACGGGTGTCGGCTGCTTCCAGCTGTGGCTGGAAGCCGTGCACAGGCCTGTAATCTGCAGGGTGGCCCTGTGGCTGCTGGCCCCGCCACCTCAGCCCAGGTGCCAGTCAGCCAGGGTCTCCACCCGAGTCTGCTGGGAAAGGGACGCGCACACCTCCAGATTTCCCAGGCGTTGCTCGATTGTCCTCCAGGCTGCTTGTCCAGCATCCCCGGTTGGTAAACTGTTCTGCCCAGACACACAGATGCCTCTGCCCATTTCTGGTTCCTCCCAATAAAAGGATTTAACTCTACTTCCTGTCTGACTGAACCCCGTCTCCTTCCCCCACGTCTCCAGCTCGGTGTCATGAGCTCTGCCATGTCCCAGGCAGCTGGCATTTTGCACAATAACCAGAACCAGGGCAGCAGGCAGTTGTGACTCTGGAGGCCACAGATCTAATCGCAGATTTACCTCTTTGGCTGTGTGCCTTTGGGCAAATCACCTCACCTCTCTGAACCTGTTTTCTCACCTGTGAAGTGGGGGCACTAACCATAACCGACAATAGGGAAGTCACGGTGATTGAGAAGGTGCCCCACGAGGAGAAGTTCTTGTTACCTCCAGAGTCCACAGAGAACCGGCAACTTTGCATGGCTCAGGGCAACTTTGATTGCAGTGACAGAGACTCCAAGTCAGCGGATTGAAGACAAACGGTAATTTATTGGCCCAGGTGACCAGGACACCTGAGAGGGTCGTCCTGCCCCTGTGTGGTCAGATCAGGAAGCCATGCCGGCCCGTCTCTGGGACACGCTTTCCTTCCCGATGGCTCTGTCCTAGGTGGGCTTCCCAGGTGGCCCCAGGACTCTGTCCTCCAGTTGAAGGAGCGCTGCGAAGGACAGGCTTCTCCTCCCAGCACGTCCCCAGGCCTGTGCCTCGCCACGTGGCTGCTCCCGTGCCTCTGCCTGAGCCCTCACAGTGGCCAGAGGCAAGGGGGATGTCTGGGGTCCCCTCCCGGGGTGCAGGCTGGCTCAACCAGCTCCAGATCAACCGGAATGAGACTGGGAAAGGAGGGGAGCCCAGGGGAGCCCAAGGGGATGTTCCCAAAATAAGGGGCAGGGGATGCCAGTCAGGTGGGCACCAGAGTCACAGCCTGCTGTCCAAGATGCAGCCCAGGGAGCTCCCCTGGGTGCTGCAGCGAGATGCAGAGTCCCGGGCCCCGCCCAGGCCACCGAGTCGGGGTGGCATGAGCCAGACCTGCGGGAGCCACCTGAAACGGGCTGCCCCACACCAGCTTTTTCAGCCACCTAGAACTTTTTTTTTTGAGACCAGGTCTCGCTGTGGTGGCAGTCAGGGCCCTGCCTCCCTCCCAGCCAGGCTCCCTCCAGAGCAGCCGACTCCGGCGCCCACACCACACCCACCCGACTCGCAGCCACCGTTTCTGATCTACTGAGAACCACCCAGGCCGAGAACTAAGAGAGCACTCGAGGTCATCAGGGCCAGCCCCTGGTCACAAGGACAGAGGATGAGTGCCTGGGGAGGGTCTCACGGTTGACATCCACACCGCCCCTGGGGGACCCCACCATCAGCGGCTCTGCCAACAGCGCTGCACTTGCATGGACCACCTCGTGGGGAGATGCGACCTGGGTCCTGGGTCTCAGCCTCACTCCAAAGGCAGCCGTGTGCCGGGCAGTGTCTGCTGTCACTCCCAGGACCAGGCCAGGTACTTCACCCTGTGGTGACGGAGACCCACCACACGCACACGCAGGTCTCTGCGGCTCCCCGACACGCAGGCACACGCACGCGAGCCCTCCCACGTTCTCAGCGCAGACACAGGCAGGACCTGGCGCACCCCAACCTCATCAGCCTCCAGCCCCTGGGGCCTCAGAGTCAAGGGCGCCACAGACCACGTGGCCTTTATTTGGTTACAGAGGGTGGGGCTGGACCGGGGGGGGGGTCATTCTCAGGCTACGTCAGAAGGTGCAGGGTATTGGGGGGGACACAGACTGGCCCCCAAAGTGACAATAAGTTAGGGGGGATTCTCAGGCTGTTGTCCAGCTGGAGTCAGGGCAGGGTACCAAGTGGAGCCCCCCGAGCCACTTCAAGCTGCCCAGCTCAGCCGGCCCGCAAGGCTGGATCCAGGACAGACGTGACCCTGGCTGAAACACACAGGGCGGGGAGGCGGAGGGGCCGTGGGTCAGGGGTCGGGGCCATCAGCAGGGTCAACAGCAGAAAGAACAGGCCTGAGGTGGTCAAGAGCGTCCTGGAGGGAGGGTCACCGGCCCAGGGCAGTGCTGAAGTCGAGGGCCACTCACCAGGCAGTCAGTTAAGCTCCTGCAGGTTCTCATAGTCCGGAAGCCCCTCTTCCTCTTCATCCCCCACTTCCTGGGAGCTCAGGGGAGCTGGGACGGGACGGGACGGGAGGTTGGTGTCCAGCCTGAAAGCCACCCCCTGCTCCCGCCCCTGCCCCCATACACACCAGGCTTGACTGGAGCCTCGGACTCCAGCTCCTGGGACACATTCACGTACTCCCGGCTCCCATCTGTGGGGACAGGTCAGAAGGAGGGATGGTCACGCCAGGGGAGGCCAGGTCACACTGAGGGAGTGGGGGCAGGGCAGGAGGAGCCCCAGACAGACAGGGAGGGGGCAGTGGGCGCCCGTGGGTGGGCTCCACGGGTGGAGGGGGACAGGGTGGGCGACTAGAGCCCGGTCACTCACCCAGAGACGCCTCTGCGCTCTCGCCGCTCTCAGGAACGTTCACGTAATCTTCCACTGTGGGAAGCCATCGAGGCCCACCCGCCCCCACCGCTGTCATTAGACACCTTCAGTCACAGATTCCTGGAGCCCCCCAATTCAGATGTCCAGGGCCTCAGGGACACCCTGAGGCTCCCAGTGCAACCCACCCCCAGTCAGTTGCACAGGGATGCAGGGAATGTTCTGAAGAACTGACACTTATCCCCCGATGCCGTCTGATTCTCTCATGTGCTGCCGTGTTTCTCCACGAGGACGTGGACAAGGTGACCTTGCAGACAGACGGCCCAGGTTCAAACCTTGATCCAGCACTAAGGAACTGTTGTGTGACCTCAGATAAGTTATCTCACCTCTCTGTCACTGTCTCCTCAACTGTGAAACAGGATCAGGAAGGGACTTGCCTCGCAGAGTTGTAGGGATTAAAGCAGAGAGGTAACAGGACGGGCCCATCATGCAGTAAGCCCTGCCTAATGGCTGCTAATCGGTTCACCCCGAGTCCAGCTACCCAGGAGGCCGAGGCAAGAGGATAGCTTGAACCCAGGGATTCAAGGCCAGCCTGGACACCATAGGGAGGTTTTCTCAAAATAAGGAAAAACAAATAAATAAACCCTGCCATGGTACTGAGGGGCTGGAGGGGAAGGGACAGACACTAGAGCACCCGGCCATTATACACATACGACTCTTCGTAGGACACATAGTAGGCCTTCTGCCTCATTAACTCGTCCATCCTGATGTTAGCCCAGCAGACATGCCCGATAAGTGAATGAATGAAGGAGAGAGTGAGTGAATAAATTAGAGCATTCGGACAGACAGTCCGGAGCCCAGAAGAGAGGTGGCACATTGGAAATCTGATTGGCAAATAGACAGCTCAGTTCAAGCACATATAGACTGAGCATCCCTAACCCAAAAAACCAATATCTAAAACAACTCCAAAATCCAAAATCTTTTGGGAGCCAACACAATACCACAAGTGGAAAATTCCACACCATGAAAATTAGTTTTTTTGTACAGTTGTTTTAAGTATTGTATCAAATTACTTTCAGGCTATGGATACAACGTATATGTTAAAACATAAATCAATTTCATGTTTTGACTTGGGTCCCATCCCCAAGATACCACCTTAGGTATATGCAAATATTCCCAAACCCGAAACATTCTGGTCCCAAGTGTTTCCGATGAGGGATACTCAACTAGTCCAGAGAGGGGATAGGAACAGAAAGCCCTTCAATGAGACTAGGAAAGGAGAAAAGTGGCTCAAAAGAAACTGAGACGATGCAGGAAACAAAAGAAAACCTCCAGAAAAACAAAAAAAAAAGACCACCTCTAGTTAATATTCTTAGAGATTTGCAAGATGCTATGGCCTCTATTAGTGCTTGCTAATATGGGTGAGGCCCCGGATTCAATCCCCAGTACAAGAAAAAAGAAAAAGAAACAAGAACAGGAAGCTATACAAAAAGAACACTCAGAGTCCAGGAAAGACCTTTGGATGGGAGGTTGTAGTAGAAGGATTGAAGAAGAGAGTCAGGAAATCTCCCAGACAACAACTGCACAGGAAAAAGACAGAGGGGAGAGCAAAGGGGAGATAAAAGGTAAAAAAAAAAAAAAGAAAGTCAAATCGGAACAGGAAGTCCAACATATGAATGAGAGAACAGAAGGGGAGCCATCATTAAAGAAATAGGAGAGGGAAGAGAAGAAGGTCAGGTGGCACATGGGGCAAAGGAGGTACACAGAAATACTGAACTCACTGGAGAAGGTGCTGTCACGGAGGCCAGGGTCACTGGGCACAGGAGCTGAGGGGGCAGCAGGGCTAGTGGCTGGGGTGCTGTCAGGAAGCACCATCCTGCAAGGAGAGAGCGAGGAAGGTGAGCGAGGACGTCTGGCCTCACTCGACCTCCACCTCCCGCCTGGCCACTCACAGGTAGCCCGGGTTGTGATAGTCGTCCTCATCATCATCTTCATCTGCGTCCTCACAGGCTGGCTCTGGGGACAATGACACAGGGGTCAGCATGACCTGGGACAGATGCCAGCTGCCCCACCTAGCCCGGGGACGTGAGATCCCAGACGCACCCTGGTTCTCGTAGCTCGCCATACTGTTAGCTTCAGAGAGAACAAGATGGAGACAGGGTCAGCTCAGGCTGGGTCCGCCTTCTGCCCAGCTGCAGAGCCCCCCGCCCCACAGCCCCTCTCTGCCCTTACCACCATCTGAATCCTGTTGGGAAGGCGGCATCCGATGGGAACCCACAGGGGGCTGCGGGGATCTCCTGGGAGTCAAAGGTCAGGGGTCATGCCTGGGAGAGGCTCGGAGGCAAGATGGGTTGCAAAAGGAAAAGAGGCCCCAGTGCGAGAAAGGGAGGGAGCAGGAGGTGGGATCTGGAGAGGGAAGAGCCGTCGAAGGGTACTCACGGGATGGGGAGCAAGTCTGGCTGGCTTGGAGGTGGGTAGGAGATAACAGGTGGGTAGGAGGCAGCAGGTGGCCAGGGAACTGGAGTGTCTGAGGACAGAACCGAGTTGGAAGGAAGGACTCCAGACATCAGGCCCCAGGCCTTGAATCAGCTCCTGAAGTCCCTGTGCCTGGGGGCTGTCCCCTCCCCTCCCATCACAGCTCAGGGCAAAACCATGTGGGCAGCCCAAGGTGGGCTCTCATGCCAGGGGACCCCCTCCCCGGCACTACAAGGCGGGGACCCTCTGTACTCACAGGGAGGTTTGATCAGGATGCTCGTGGGGTTTGAACTGGCAGGAAAGACACAGCTGGGTGAGTGGCCGAGAGAGGCCCGGCCCCAGCCCCAGGGCAGGGGGAAGGAGGGCGGCACCGACTCACCTGTCTGCGGGAGCGCTGTCGTAGGAGTCTGGGGGAGACAAGCCAGGTGAGATGGGGCAGGGGTGCAGAGGGACAGGTGCCGGGGCCCGGGAGCCCTGAGTCCCAGGGAGCAGCTGAGGTGGGGACGGTGAAGAGGGCTGGGGCTTGGGGCCTGGGTCAGGGCCTCCCTTGGGGTCCCCGCCAGCTCCCCACTCACCGGGCGGCTCGTGGCAACGCACACACAGGGCTATCAGCAGCATGGCCAGGAGGGGCAGCAGCAGGAGGCCCAGCGGATAGGGGGTCAGGCCGTCCACCTCCATCTGCAGGAGGGCGCCTGCGCCGGGCCGGCTGCCCCACAGGCCCCTCTCGGCTCAGCTGCAGCGGTGTGTAGGGACCAAGAGGGCCCCCCACTGGGGGTCCTGGTGAGCAGCTGTGTCCTCCCCGGGGGCTCCGGGACCACCTCCCCTTGCTGGATTGAGTGGGGCTGGGTGCCGGCTCTGAGACCCTGGTCCTGGGTGGACCAGGGCCCGGGCTGTGGTCTGGGGCACCAGTCACCCTGTGTGGTCCCTGTGCCCCGGGCGTCCCTGCCCCTCGGCTCAGCGCCTGCCTCTCCTCCACACCCGCAGCAGGAAGCTGTGGTGAGCACCGGGTGAGGGCAGGAAGTCATCAGGCTCCTCAGCCAGCTGCACCCGCCCCAGCCACCCCCACCCAGCTGTGGGAAGGGGGAAGAGGCCTGAGGAGCCACGGGGGCTCTCAGGTAGGGGAGAGGCATCTGGTGGGAAGGGGCGCACTGGCCAGCCCCAGAGCCCTCTGCGGCCTCCCATTTGAGGGGGAGGCAGCCCCAGGGAGGCTCTGACAGCAGGGAGACTAGGGGCAGAGGGCAGCGTCCACCCCACCGCCCCCAGGCCTGCCTGCCGGGAGGAGGGGGCTCCTGAGCAGCACAGGCATGACTCACAGTCACACTGAACCAGCTCAGAGAGCAGTCCTCCCTCGGGGTCACCCAGCCCAGAAGACAGGGACTCCCCACAGGAGTGACCGCACAGTTCCCAGGAGCACTGAGGCTGGAGATGGGGCATCCCCACAGCCAGAGGTCGGAGGCCACTAGCACCCAGAGAGACTCCAGCAGGCACGTGCGGTCTGGCTACAAATTTTATTCCCATTACAAATAGCACCAAGCCCCGGGGCCACCGGGCAGAGGGGATGTCCCCTCCCAGACCCCATCCTCCTCTGCGATGCCCATGTAGTGTCAGGGAGCAGGGACACAGCCCGGGGTCTCCTCCTGAAATGGGCCAGGTCAAGGGTCTGGGACCAGGGAACCCCGTGGGGTGGCCCAGGGCCAGCTGCAGCAGATCTGCAGACAGACAAGTGACAAAGTGACGCAGCTTCAGATGAGCACGCTGGACACCGGGACCCGGGTGGAGCGGCCTCGCTGGGGAACCACAATGCGGTCGTCCGTGGACCCGGCCTCGGGCAGGAGCCCTGTGGGGAGGGGTCAGAGCCAGGGATGAAGAAACAGGCAGAGCCAGTGGGGGGACAGACGGGCATGGGACATAGAAGGAGCAGCAGCAGGAACCACAGACACAGACAGGGATCAGTGTGCGGGACAGACAGACCCAAAACTGAAGGGGGGACAGAGGAAGACTGGGAGATGCCGGGCACACAGGCCTGGACAGACAGACACACGGTACTGTGACGGTGGCCACAGCAGGCCGCACTGACCCTGCGCATGCAGCTGGGCCCGCCGGCGGTCACCCTCGATGAAGATAGCGGTGCCCAGGAAGGCTGCACCGCCCAGCGCCCCCACAAAGGCACAGAGCATGAGGGACAGCTGCAGGGCCCGGAACTCGGACAGGAAGGAGGGCGGCCAGCTCCGACGGAGGCGGTCAGAGATCTGCAAGGAGGAGAAGGAGTTGGAGGGAGCCAGGCAGGAGCCGGGGACGGGGACCCCTGGACATACGGGAAAAGGAACATGGAGCCCGAGGAAGGGAAGGAGGTTGGACCCCGGGCGAGCCCAGAGCTCCCGGCACTGGAGGGGAGGTAGGAGAGACACCAGGCAGAGGTGCCTAACGGGGACGAGTGCGCCGCCCGCCCCGGCTCAGGCCACCAGCTAGTGCTGCAAGTGAGGGCCCGTCCCCCACCCCGTCCCAGCCCAGGGGCTCACCAGGCCAATGAGGTAGGGGCTCCCCGCGTCGCCCAGCAGGTGGGACAGCACAATCTGGAATGCCTCGGCAGTGGAGCGTCGAGTGGGAATCACCACGTACTGGGGGAGGAGTGGGACTCAGGGGGGCCCCAGGGCAAGAGGCAGGGGCCAGGCCAGGGCCAAGGCTCAGTCTGGGCCCAAGGTTAAGACCAGGCCAGGACTACAGGCACCCCGGGGCTGCATCCAGAGGTTAATGGGGGGTTGGGTTTTAAAGGAGGAAAGGCCACGATTCATAGCCAGCGATGTCCCCTGACCCCAATCCTTGCTCCCATCAGCCTCTAGGCTCACCCTGGAGCTGCCAGCTACTCACCAGCAGAATGTCAGCCACAATGGCCCAGTTCATAGACAGCAGGGTCTCCCCAATAAAGATGAAAATCTGAGGGGTGGGAGGGGTGGGGGTCTCACAATAAGAAGGGTCTACTACATACCAGGCTCATTCACTAACCCCTTCTCCCCACACCTCTGTGAGGCAGGTCCCATGTTACAGATTAAAAAAACTGAGCACAGAGAGGTTAAGCTACTTGCTCAATGTCACACAGATGGGAAAGACCAGAGATGGGATTCGAAACCAGGCATTCCGCTTTGAGTAGGCTCTGAACCACTCTGCTGGCTGACCCCAGTTCCTCCACCCTGAACCCAGAACGTTCCCTTGACCCCTGCTAGCTACTTACGTAGGTGGCCACGATGCTACCACGGGCACAGGCGAGAGACAGGAAGAGGAAGGGTGCAGAGCCCAGGAGGCCAGCGGCGCAGACCAGCGGGTCGGCCCGAGGATTGGAGCGGCGGAGGCGGCGGCTGATCTCCACGCCCAGGCCCACACCCAGGACCCCGGTCAAGCAGGTGATGAGCCCGAAGATGAGACTAGGGGGTGGGGGTGGGGCGTGGGGACTAGACCCTCAGCCTGCAAGGGCCCCGCCGGGTCCCCCTGGCCTGGGGGGGAAGATGGTTCATCCCAGCCACCCTTGCACCCAGGTCTATTCAGGAAAAGCACCCACGGTCCACGGACCCCTGAGAGGAGATGCTATCCCGCCACGTGTCCCGGACCCTGAGACTGAGACTCTGCCACAGAGCCAGGCTTCAGCCTCCTGCCCGATCCCGAATCCCAGGCTCTCCACCCCTGCCACCTACAGGCGGCCCCGCCCGCCCGCCCCATCTGGGTACCTGTCAGAGGAAGAGCAGGAGTCTCCAGGGAGGCAGGGGGGAGTCTCCCCCAGGACCACACGGGAACGCAGCAGGAAGGCGGGCGCCCAGAGCGCCAGGGAGCCCGTGACAAAGGCCACGGCAGTGAAGCCCAGGGAAGACAGGGTGAAACTGGGACTGCGGACACGGGGGAGGGAGGGGTCAGGTCCTGCAGCGGTCCCGGTAGGAAGGGAACACCCTTCTCCCCTCCTGGCTTAATTTTTGAAGTCGGAACCCTGGGAGTGGAGGCTAGCCCGCTGGTCCTGGCCTGCGATTCAGGACGCTGACACAAGGGGGCAGTAGCAACGGGACTGTCCTAGTCACTACTGGGCAGCTGGCAGACAACCAAGTCCGGGCCCGCTTCAGCCTCCATAGATGCCGGGGCCTCAGATGCTGGACTGGGAAGGCATTGAACTCACTTTCTTGCCAGAGCCCTCAGATCTGCCCACCACGAGGTGGGGTTCAGGGGTGGCGAATCTGAGTGACGCTCCACAGCTCCCCGTGGTGGCTCCCGTACTACCAGGAACAGCAGCAGGACAGCCACCACTCCTAGACCTGGTGTCACCTGGGGAAACAGCAGGATTCAGGAAAGGGCACAGGACAGGACACACTCAGTCTCTGGGCTCGGGGACAGTGACAGCGGAGAAGGCCCTCGGGTGTCGGCTCAAGGAAGCCAAGCCCCCATTTGAGAAATGGGGGGTGTCACTGGGGGCCACCTTATTTCTGCAAGGCTAACTCTGCTTCCTTTGATAAGAGAACCCTAGTTTTCTTTTGAGAAAGCACCCCCCCACACACACTGCTGTCAATCTACGTGGTTCAAACAGCATCTCAGACTTGGCCAAAATTAGCACCACTAACCCCCAATGCTGGTGGCTGATTTCATGGGAGGCCTGTGAACCACATATCATCACCACCAGGATTATTGCCCAAGGATCCAACATACCCAAGTTGCTCAGGTGAAGGAGAGTCATTTAGAGTTTCACACACCTGAAGATGAAGCTAGCATCAAGGACAGGAAGCTAAACACACAATGATCTCCTTCCTTTGACAGTGTGGGAGCCCTGGATCCAGCTTTACCTGATGCTCACCCTGGGGCTTTCCACTATGAAAGCTAAAAGCAAATGCAGCCACTTTCTAGGGCCTACAGTTTTACATGGGCTCTGACACCCACAAGCACATGGCTTCATGGTGAGGGCACCAGGTTTCCTGCAGGCTCAGAGAGTGAGCGCTGCCACAGAAGGAGGTGTCTGAAGGGCAGAAAGGGGGCTCAGTGAGAATGTCCCTGACCTCCCTCCAGGACATGACCGAACTCACCCTCAGAGCCCAGTGCCAGTCCCCAGCCACATCCTTCACTTTGGAGCCTGCGATATAACCCAGACCACTAGGGGAAAGGAGGGAAAAAGGGACAGCCAGTCAGTCGAGCCCCACACCTCGGCCCTCTGCCCCTCACCAGGCCCAGGGCCAGCTCACCTGCCCACTGGGATGGCAAAGTAGAACACGCTGAGCATGCGACTCCGCTGGTCGGCCACAAACAGGTCAGCGATGAGAGTGGGCGCGATGGTGGAGTAACTGGCCTCCCCGACCCCCACCAGGCCCCGGGTCAGGAGGAGCAGCCAGAAACGCTGGGGAAGAACAGGGGAGGTGGCAGCCCACCCTGAAGTCAGCCTCCCAGCCTTGCTGGGGAGGTGGCGGGCACAGCAGGAGAAACCTGGGCTTTAGAATCAGACAGACCTGGCTGGAATCCTGGTTCACTACTTACTAGCTGGGACTTTGAGAAAGTAACTTAACCTCTCTGAGCCTCAGTTTCCTCATCTGCAAAAGGGGAATAACAATAACTTGTTCACACAGCTACTGTGAGGCCTGCATAGTAAAGGTCTACTCATTCCCTCACACACAGTAGGTGCCAAACAAACCTTAGTGGCTACCACGCCCCTCCCACCAAGACAAAGGTGAATAAGGACCTTAGGTGTCTGCCAGACACCTGAAGCTAAGGACATGGTACAATCAACCAAGGAGAGTACACCTGGGGCCTGGGGCTGAGGACCGAGGCCAGGGTGACAGCAGATGGAGGAGATTCCAAAGGAGCCCAGAAGCCACAGCCAGGGGGGTGCGAGGGAAATCAGAACATGCATCGAGAAGTCAGAAGAGAGCTTCCAGAAGGACAAAGTGGGCCAGGGGTGCCGGGGGCTCCCAGGAGATCAAACAGGAGCAGATCTAGGAAGTGGGAGCCCCATTTGGCAACTGGGAGGTCATTGTTGACTT